TCCCTTCCAAACCAAACCATTCTATGATTCCGTGACCAGTTATGTAAAGAGTCAAGTAAATGGTCAGCACTGACTACTTTCTTTCCCTCCCCCTAACAGAAAAGAAAGAGATCTGTCTTGCAAGTTAACCAAATTTACTGATACAATTAAAAACGGCTAGGCACAAGAAGTCACAGCTAGTGTCAGAAGAGTGTTCACTTCAAACCCACAGCTTGACCTTACTTGGGTTACCTTCCCTTCAACTATTCCACTATTCCATGCGAATGTCTCCTCTAAATCCATGCTAGGAACACCAACTATCTCAGTATTTTTTTCCACATGCTTGTTCAGAATTGAGAAAAAAACCAGGAATTTTTCCTTTCAAGTTTTAAGCATTACCTGTACCAGGAATGATCTGTGTTGGCATAAGATTCTCTGGTTCATGAGACTGACCCTTTGCACACTTCAACCATGAGAAGACTTCCTCATCACCAATCTCCTCTGTCTCTGGAATAAAGACACAGACAAAAAATTTTTTACAGAAGTCAGTAGAACTTTACAGTGCAGAATGTTTCTGTATCAATGCTGTTTCTTTAGACTCTTTACAGTGCAGGAGATTAATCCAGTGATCTCAGAAATAAATTGTAAATATAGACCATTAGAAAAGGATCTACAGCAACTCCTTTGCCTCTTCAGGTTATAAAACTACCAGAGTAATTTTTGCTTCATATCTAGTAGTTTGTTACTTTCAATCACCTAAAAATCTCAGCCTCTAGCCTCAATTTTTGAATATTGTACTCTTGTTCTCATTATGCTTTCCTAAGTAATCGAATAAATCTGTCTCTTCTTGTCATCATCTCCCAAGATTTTTCAACAAGTATCTGCAGATCAGTTCCAGGAAGAGGAAACCAAGTTCTCCTGTCAGTATATCTACTTACAAAGCTAACAAGTAGCAAATTAATAGTTTGAAAAGTAGGCTGACAAATTTAAATTCTTCAGATTTTAAACCAAGTTGAGCCTACAAATATGTAGCTGTATAAACTACATACCATGCTCTTCCTTTAAAAAGGAAGGGGGAGGTGGAAGGGGTCAGTGGGGGAGAATATGAGAAGGATCATATAAAACTTCATTTCAGGGTCCTTTAGATCTGGTATCTGCACAGGTTGTTTCTACAGCACAAAGTTCATAAGCCTCTTGAGGCAAGTAATTGTATTTAAGTAATGCCTTGGTTCTACATTTTGGCCTATTCCAAAATTTCAGACTTGATTAATAATTCATAATTACAGTACAGTTTTCAGGAAGACATCACTGATAAGCAATATACATATACATACACACTCCACTATCACTTGACATTGTAAAATATCAATCCTTTCAAAGCTGACCCTCCTCTGTACACCAGTGAGTAAAAACTTCTCATACGTCTAGGACATCTCTTCATTTTAACCTGGCACGGGTAAGGTTATCCTATTTATTTCCTTGATGCGAGAAGACAAGTGGTTAAGAGACTTACTGCCCTTGAATCATGGACATCTTTATACCACATTCTGCCAGTGATATATTCAGTCCCAAATGCTTTTATCAAACATACACAGTGCCAACTTTCAACTATTTCCACTGTACCCTAGGTAACCACATCTTAAAGATTGTTGTGCTCTCTTCTGGTGTATTCTGGCAGTAATTTCATAGGCTTCATTATTATACTGGGTCTGCCTGGGATGGAGTTAATCTGACTTATAGCAGCTTGTGGTGCTGTGTTTTAGACTTGCGACCAAAACAATGCTGGTAACACATTAATGTTTTAGCCACTGCTGAACAGTGTTTGCAGTGACCAGGTGTTCTCTGTTTCTACCTCTACCCAACCCCTCAGTGAATAGACAGGGGGTGCACAAGAGGTTGGGATGCAACACCACCAGGTGGATGATCCAAACTAAGCAAAGGGATGTTCCATGCCATACAATGTCACAGTCAGCAATAAAAACAGAGATGAGGGAGTTAAAGGGTGGTAGCCATCTTTTGCTTGGGGAACTGCTAGGCAACGGTCTGCCTGTGAGAGGTGGTGAGAGATTGCTTTTGCATCACGTGCTTTGTTTCATTTCCTTTTCTTTTTCTCTTTTTTATTTCTCCTTTGCTTACTAAACAATTATCATCTTGACCCACAAGTTTTCTTGCTTTTCCTCTTCCTTTCCTCTTTCTCCAGTCCTCATGCTGGAGGAGTGAGCAAGTGGCTGTGTGATGCTTAGCTGCCTACTGGGGTTAACCCACAACAATGATAAAAAATAGGTGACTTTTTATCTATTTTAAAAAATACATTGCTTTTATAATTCATTCAGTGTTCTCTGGCACCCTTATCATTATGAATAGACAGCAGTACTCACGCTTATTAACATCCAGTATTTTGTACATCTGCTCCATAAAATAATGTAATTGCCACTAATAGCCTTGCACTTACTAAGACTGTCCATTGTCAGCACCCATGCTACCAAAGTGGTCTCCATACAATAAAATACACAAAAAAAGCAACCAGGTATTCACTTCTTTAAACACAGTATGCCTCTATTTGTTAGAAATTGAGCTTACTGACCTTATTCCTGAATTACAAACCCTAGTGTGTCAGCAAAGCCAAAAAAGAAGAAAACTTTCCAATCTAACTCCTTGTTACAGAAAGGGGTTCTCTGCAATGTATGCTAGTTCATCTTGTGATGGTTCCAAACTGTTAAGATATTACTTAATTTTTCTTTTATACTCTCTGAGGAAAAGATGGAACTATACAGTAGTCTGTCTCAGTACACAGCCTATGCCTGCTGATGTTACAATTTTAACATACAAATTCAAACCAAATAGATAAAACACAGGTATCTAAGGAAACGAAGAACAGAACAGCAGCATGAAAGACAGTAGTGCCAAAATTCCAAACCTCCAGCCTCCCAAGCTGATAGTCACTAACTCTCCTACAAAACCTTCAGCAACTTCCCAGAAATTATCCCCACTGAAAACCAGCCAGTTCAAAGATTACAGTGGTGTGGGGGGGGAAATATCCAGTACTCACCACTGCGTGGACGATTCTTCCTCAGCCGGTAACAGTCCAGACAGACCCCAAAACCACATTTGCGACAAACCCAATGAATATTGAAGAGCGTTGTCTCACATACATCACACATTTCCCTCACGCCACGTACTGCTCTCTTCCATGCCACTTTCTCTATAAAGAGAAGGAACATTAGGAATTATTGCTTTGACCTTTTGCATTTCTCCCACCTAATTTGAGAATATCACAGTAACATTGATAAAGAAACAATTCACAGAAACATGACTTGAGGGCAGAGTACAGAAAAACATACTTTTTACATCCAGAGACACAATCCTTGCTAGTCTTGTGACACTATTAAAATCCCCACTTCTAACACTGGGTAAGGTAAAGTCCCAAAATGCACACACTACAAGGAAATAGAGTACTTTACAGAGCTTTGTTGTAACTGAATTTCAGGGAGCACTTATGGACCTTACAGCAAAATTATAAAACTTCTGCTAGTTTTATGAACAAATAACATGAACTTATAAAACTATAAAGAATGCGTATTTAGTTGTACTAATTGGATGCCTGTCAACTCCTTGGATTCTAAACCAACACGTTTGCTGAGGAAGGGGAAGTGCTCTCCAAATGGCTGCCCTTGAACATTCCAGAAGCTAAAGGAAAAAAAAAAAAAAAATCACACAGAGCTATCCAAGTGATAGGCTGAACTAGATAACTTCAGAAAATTTCTTCTAAACCCACTCCCCTTATAGCGGCAACGCTGTCTACTAGTTGCTCAGCTGAGTCCTTGCAGGCTGAATGCAGGTGCTGCTCCCTCCCTAGAAAACCCTGAGCTTTTATGTGATCTCCTTGGAGCGTAACAGGATAGGAATATGTAAGAAAAGCTGCTCATTAAAGCACAGCTGGTCACTGTGGTAAGTGTTCTGGACTTAATTCTGATTTTCTTATCAGCTGATTTCTGCATTTATTTATTGAAAAAAATAATTGAATGATGTCTGGGAAAGTTACCATTAGCTTCCTCAGTAGTAAAGCTGCACTGATCAAAAAAAGAAAAATCCCAAATGCTGGTCCCACAATTACACACACCCCAAAGAAGTGAATACAGCCTTCTCTTTAGAAGAAAAGGAAAAGCATTTTAACAAGGAATTCTATTAGACTTTCAACTCTATGCCACTGCATTGTACACACATTACACAGAGAAGATGGACAAAAAACATGTCAAAAGCCCAGCTTACGATGTGGCTCCACCATCATCATTGCCTCCTTCTCTGACATAACAAGCTGGCAGAACTGGTCCCCAACATTGGCCAGGATATATTTTGAAGTTTCCAAATCGATCCCCTCTGCAGGGGAGGAGGAAGGAATCCATAGGCTCATGGCATCAGGGTCACTCTGTTGTGGGTTCAAGAAACCCTCGACTCGTAGAATACCTTTTCGGGTAAATATCAGCCTGCAGAAAACAGGATGGAGTAACTGAGAAGCTGCTCAACCACCTTTAATTAACTTACGATGCCACCTATATCAGAACATAAACCCAGAAAGATGAAAAAAACGCTTGAGATAGAGTGCTATACTCTACAGCCAGTACAATGATTATGCAAATCCAAATAACACAAAGAATAAGGTACACGAAGGCAATGGGCACAAAATCCACTAGAATGAATCCCCAGGTCCCAGTAAGCATTGGTGGGAAATTCTACATACAGAAAATTCCTACAGCTTGATAAGTCACATTTCTCTATGCTATCAACAGAAAGAGATGACAAAAGTCAATTTATTTGGGCTTCTGTGTGATGCTGCTTGTAAAATTGTGCATGGTTCTAATTCTCTACTTTAACTCACAAGAAAGTTAATTTCCCAACTTTTGGGAAACCAGTATTTCAGTTCTGGCTAGGGCTGCTAGTACTTGTCAACTGTTCTAACAGTTCACATTACAAGACATACAAAAATTCTTATTGTATCTACTGTTCTTGCCACTGCTCTCCACAGAGATGAGCCACAATTCTTTTATCATTATTTGTGTGGTAAAAGGTATAACAACATTACAGAACCCTGAATGCCTCCTGCCAATATTAAAGGTAACTTCAGTTTCAAGCAAAAACAATCTTATCTCTAATTTCAATGCTAGATTAATTTTTTAACAATTTTAAGAAGAGAAGCAGCTATAATCCTTACTGGATGGGTGGCACAAAATATGCACTTCATCCTTTATATGCCAGAAAGGGAAGAAGCATCTTTTTGGGAAAAAATGCATAGCACTTGCTAGAATAGGCAGCTAAGGAAGATAAAGGAAATCGTGACAGGTCAAAGAACTGTTAGACCTGTACACAACACAGAGAGAAAACACAGGCAGCGTTCTACTCCTAAAAATCAGTTCTATACTCAACAAAACCTAGTCAAACATTAGCCTCATGCTGGCAATGTTTAGTTACCTGTTGACTGATTAAAAATTTTATCTCTGTTCTGAACTCCTTATGAAAGGGGGAGAGAACAGTTATTACATAGAAACTGCTACCCAACAGAAAAATTCTGCCCAATAAAGCGAATTCAATCTCCTGAGGCTGGACCTGAAGGCCCACTTAGTATCACACTTAGGCCCACACAGTATGCTGTATCTTCCAACAGCAGCTCTCCCTGCCCCAGTGAGGGAATTCCAGTCAGGTGATGCAGGGAAATGCAGGACACTCAAAATCTTCATTATTGTACCCAAGCACATTAAATAAGTAAAATGTAATTACTTTGTGCAGACCATGTCCAAGCTCTGCACACAGACTACATATAAAGGAAGGAAGAATTTGAGCACCTCCGAAAGTGGAAGAAGCGACATGCCACAGTTGAGTCATCCTGCTCTTGCTCCTTAAATTTGCGGTACCGCTCCAGACGGCACTCCCGGCACTTGTGCAGATGTGGAGCTACATTGATGCAAGAGCCATCCTGGAGAAAAGGCTCACCTGACTGCTTCAGCTTCCTCACCTTACTCATATCTTTCAGCACAGACTGGCCAACTGGGTGATGCAAAGTAGAATTAAAAATCCATTAGTTAACTGCAACCACAAAAGAATACTGGCCCCAATAAACATATATTCGGAGATCTGTATGCTCATACCCATGCAAAACCAATAAGACTGTTCAAGTCTGCAGCATACCACACTTTTGTCCTGACAAATACACGCTTAAACATTTCTCATAATTCACATAAAAGAAGCATTAAGCTTTAGCCTTATAAATATCCTGTGTGCTGCCTACTGAGCATAAATGAGGTTTACACCTATGGTTAGTTCATAGAGTTCATCACACAGGAGATATCCCAGTATCCCACCTCCTTGTGCTTCCAAGACACCCTGCATTCAAATCATCACCTTTTAGGGGAGCTGTGCGAGGCCGGCCCTTTGGGGTTTGTTTCCCTTTTCCTTTCCCCAGCAGCAATTCAGCGTTGCGCTCTGCATTGGGGCCTAGCTTTGCCATCAAGTGGTCTGGGATTCCCTTCATACAAGCCTTGGCCTGCAACTGGTCTTCAGAGTCACTCAAATCTGACAGGTCACTATTGGTACTGGAATCTGAGTCCTGTTTGGATGTCAAGCTCCGCTCATCTAGAGAGAACCTTTTCACAGCTTCAAAAGGGGCTTTGTTCTCCTGTGGAAATTCTGCCTGTGAAGAGAAAAAGCCAGGTGGATGTCTGCCAAACACATTAGAAAATGTTTTCAGAAGAGGATTGTCCTGCTGCCCAGGCCCAACAGCTGGTTTTTCTTCTGTTGGGCTAGAGGAAAGCGTAGGCATCTCAATAGGCTGTGTCAGGTTGCTGGTCGGTGAGGTGGAACGGCCATTCCCTACAGTGGAAGGGCTCTGAACACCTGCCGTAACTGCTGAACTAGGAGTACTGGAGATCATCTTTGAGGAGTCAGTTGTTATAAACAAGGTTTTCTTCTTAGCTAGAGAAGAGTCCGTAGAGGTGAGCGATTCTGGCCAGCCAGAAGTGGCCTTATGACCCACAGGTGTAGAGGGAGTAGAAACCCCTGTCTGAGATGAAGATGCAAAGCCACTGAAAGGACTAAGTTCTGCTTTCTCAGCAAATGCCAGGAAAGGGTTTGAGGGTTCCTCTCTTGATAGCTTTGGGGGCTGTAAAAATAGGTTTTCATGACTATCTGCAGGGCGAGTATTCAACAGACTTCGTGAAAAGGCTGGAGTAAGGGTAGGCATAGATTCCCCAGGCAGCTTCCGCTCCACAGAACTGCCAGACTGGGCTCCTGGTTTAGTGTCCGCTGAAAGAATTTTACCTTTACAGATCCCAGCACCCATACTCTCTGTACACTGCTTGAATGAGTCCCGACTAGAGGCGTCTTCAGTCAAGCTCTCTGAAATGACTGTGAAGTAGTTACTGGAAGGTAGATTTTGGGACATGCATTGAAAAAACAAGTTCTTTGACAGATCAGAATCTTTCTGAGCCTCTTGTCCAGTACTACAGCCAAAAGGAAATCCAGAAGGCTTGCTTTCTGGAGTCACCACTCCATTTGATTGGCTCCTTCCACCCCCAAATACCAAGGACTGGGAAGCACTTGGGAGAGAGACTCCAAATCCAGAAGAAGCCAAAAGTGAATTTCGGGAATTCTGAAACAAAATTAAGAAGCATTAGCCTATTAAAAGATTCTTATTTGATTCAGCAATACTTCGGTTCATCTAATTGTACAATTAGCATTCTACTTATCCACCTGTAATAGAAACTTCCAGCAGAATTATTTACAATGAAGAAACTTTTTTAAAGATTCTGCTAGACTAATTTTTCCTACCTACAACCTATTTAATGAGCTAACAGTGTCCACTACATACTAAAGACACATGGAGAAAATGAACACAGTGTCTTATCATGCTTTAGAACAAAAGTGAGACACAAGACAAAGTGAACTAATTCACAGAAAGTTATTTAAACTGCTGATTGTTCTACTTCAAATCAGCAAGAAGGGAACCTTGATAGAAACTGCTTTTCAATAGTCTCCTGTCTTTCACCCTTCCCTCAAGATCATCCTGACAAGATTCTCCTACTTAACCAGCACACTTGAAATAATTAACTTGGTTTGCAAAGTTAATTAAGCAAAGAAAGCCCTCTAGCAGTTAGTGAACAAACTGGTTCTGGTCACATGCTGACAGATAAGACACCTAAGAAGTGGTGCCCTCCAGAGGATTACTCAATAGAGGTTAAGCACAAAGGGCTTAATTTTTATGATCTTCAAATACTGGAAAGTTTTCTGACTTGCAGACTTCCACTAGACCCATAACTGTGACATGGAATATTCACTTGCTTTCTTGTCAATTTATACTTATTCAGATTTTCCAATTCCCACAGTCCTACTGTAACTGACTATATTCTGTGACTAACTCATCAGTTCTATTCCTTTTCTTTGAGTTTCCACTTAGAAATCTTCCCATGAGGAATACTCATGATTAACACACTTTTATTCCAAGGCCATGTTAAATACAAGCACAACCTCTGTGCAACACATTTCACTGGTCCTTAGTGTCACCGCATACCTATTAGATATTAGAATTTCAGATATTTCTTTTTAGAGCCAAAGTAATTTCCATGAACTGAGTTCTAACAGTTTTAAAAAGCATATGAATATGAATGCAAACCAAGCTTATTAAGTAATCTCAAGGACCAAATGACACTATGATAAAGTGGACAGTCTGAAGCAATAACACATGTGAACTATCTACAACACTCCTACTGATTTGTGTCAGGTTCCCTCCCTCAAGGAAAATACAGTTTCAAATGAACTAGTGGTCCCCCTGCAAATTCTGAAGCCAGATTACTAATACATTATTTAAAACAAGTGATTTGGGGTTGGGGAGAGGGATGGAAGGAGAGGTGGTACCAAAACTTCTCAGTACAATTAAAGTTCTTAATACAACTGATGATAGATACAATTTTGACCGTTCACTTACACAATTTGTAGTTGCTGTCAATGCTGAACTTTTTTTTTTTTTTTTTGGGGGGGGGGGTGTGGAAGAGCAAGCAGGTTGTATTGTTATATAACAATTTAATTATGTAACACTCCTGTCTTCCACAATTCTATTTCTCCTTTAAACTTTACCACCTAGGAATCCTTATCTCAAGATAAACATCTCGCCTTTCCTCCCATTTCATTAGCTAATACAAAAGACAGGGATGAAAGTAACTCATTTAATCTCCCGGCAATCACCTTGGACTCTCTAATCTATCTCCCATTTTCTTCAGTTTTTTTACACAGTAGACTAAAAGTGTCTTAATTTTTGCTGTACTTACTTTTTACTTACTGATGTGGGGTTTTGTTTTTATAAGCCTTCATTTGATTACTTTTCTATTTTGTTTTTAACAGAGTTTGCCTTCTACTTTTCCACTTGTCTCCTTCAAAACAAAGACACAACTAAAAGGTCTTCAAGCTGCTTCCAGACTGAGCTCTTTAATAAAATTTATTCCAAAGGCACTCATCTCAAATGTTTTAATTATTTCATTGTTTTCAGCCCTAGATAGTATATGATACCACTGGCTTATTCTTCTACTACAGAGATACCATAGCTGTAACAGACAAGTTGGGCATCTACAAAAGGTCCTCTAAATGTCGCCTCATTGTTTTTCTGGTTTTGAGGCTTCTTTTTTTCTTCCTTTTTTTTTTTTTTTAAAGTAACTTAAATGCTCAATTCAGTGCACTCTCTCATGCGTATTTGTTTATATAAATACAAGAGATATTAAGTAGGTTATTTTCCATATGACACAAGATTAATTATATTAAATGCAGCGCTTGAAGTGACTTTAAGGATGCATTTCTCAGATTAAGGCTGAATAAAGATAAGGGTTTGTGTCTTACAACTCCTCCACTAAATATCACCATTTTCTTTTGAGTTCTTTCTTAGATCAGACAATAGAAAGGAATCCCTCATCTCCAAAGGAAACAACAGAGAAAAAGTTGTTTTCTCAATTCCATGGACACACTTTGAAACAGGAATATGTTGCAGAACATCTGTTGCAAATACGTATGTCTGTCTTGAATATGCTGGATCATGAGCTACTCACCTCTCCCTGGGCTTGTGATCGCCCTGTTTTCAGTTTCTCCTGTCCAGTAACAGCTGGCAAACTGGTATCAGAGATTCTCATAGTTGTCGGTGTCAAAGCAGTTGTAGTAACCGCAGTTGCAGAAGTCACTGTGCCTTGGCCAACCTGTTCCAGGGATTTTCCTGCCTCTTTACATCCAGATCCAACCAGTAACGCTTGTCCAGCCACAGAGGAAAATGGAGTGAAGGGCAATGGTGTGTCACCACCAACTGGCTCATCTTGGACTACTAGTGTTCGGCCATTCTCTTTGGTGTAAGTGGCAAAGCGAATATTGCGATTAATCTGAGGGATGAATGAAGGCAACTGTTTGGCCCTTGAATCCAGTCCTGTTTCACTATTGGAGCCTCCTTTCCAAGGACCTCTACTTGCCTCACCTCCATCACTACCATTGCTATCCACTTCGCCTCTCTCCTTTAGCTTCTTTGTTGCAGGATCACACCCAGAATCTGAAGCATTTTTCCTCCTCCGTCCATCCTTTCCCTCCAGACATTCTTTCTTCTTTTTCCCTTTAGATGATTTAGCTGCTTTTAGGCCCCCTCCCTATAACAGACAAAACCATGCAATCACTAAACAGAACAATCTGGAATACTAGTTCAAAGAACATTTTTCTGTTCGAAAAACAATACATTACACTACTCAAGCTTCGGAACATTTCTTTTAACCACAAACTGAGACAGATTATCTAAGGAAAGATACTATGTGAACTCAGAACACAAGCATAAGTGCAGTCTTGTCTTTTTTGTACTAGGATAGAATCTTCACAGTAAGATTTTTAGCTGAGCTACTTTGCTGTTACACATACCACATCATGGCAGATTTTGGGAAACATGCAACGCAGCCATACTCCAACATAATTCTTGCTAATGTATGAGAACTATTTGCTCACTAATTTTTGCTACAAGTCTAATCCCCACAGTTCTTTTGAAGGGCACACTTTCTGTCCACAACCCAAAGCCTGCAATATTTCAACTATAGGAGATAGCTTGCCCTTCAGCCTAGGGTAAAAACACAGGTTCAAATGTTATCATGGAACCTCTCAACCAAAGCAAAGAAATGCCACAAGCGTACAAAGCCTGCTTCAGAAAAGACAGATGGTAAATTTTAGAAATGCCTAAAAACGTCTGTGAGGGGCACAGAGTGATCCTGTTAGAAAAAGGCAGTGAGCACAGAGACATTCTCTATCAGAGCACGACCCTTTAAAATGGAGCACAACAACTACATCTATTGAACCTCCCCTCACCCCCGCAAGATCCATGCTAAACTCAGTAAAACAGGCCTGAACAAAAAGAAAATAGATTGTTTAAAGAAAGCTATGACCATCTCTCAAAGCAGTAAAGAAAATTTTCATTTTCCATTTACATTATCAAAAGCTCACAGTGAACATAGCATGGCATTTCAGTTGTGTCCATGTTTTAGATGTTTTATATATAAATCTTTATGAAGTTTCACACTGTATGTACAAGACCTGAACTGTTATAGTACCTCGCTTGGAGAAGTGTTATCCATCACCACATGAATCAGTCGAGGATCCACCGACTTTATTTCACCACTCTAATTTTTACGCAGATTGATATTGAGGAGATAGGAGGAAGAAAAGAGGAGGTTAGTTTTTAATTCAGAGTATATAGTATCAACATAAAAGACTTTAAACACAAGGTTACTTTGTCACCTCTCTCCCATTTGCCTTTTCTTTCTGTCCCACTTCCTTAGTAAGGCTACAGCCTCCCAGTTTACCTTCTATCCTTTTGCATCTTCTCTATTTCAAAAAATTTCAGATTTGATTCCTACCACATTTCTTGTTCTACTGAGCATCTCTAGAGGTATTCATTGCATTAAACACAGCTTTTCTTAATTTTGATTTAGTATTGTTCTAGCCTTCTGCACATTCACTCTGCTAGATGCAGAAAATACTACTGGAGGGAAGCGTATCAATTTATGCTAACTGTACTCCTCAGCATCTCCCCAAAAGGAGCAATGAATACCTAATCTCTGTAACTGTGCTTGGAGGTTTTTATTTCACAGTAGATACACAGTAAGTTGGGTGCTTCCTGGCATGTATCTGCTGAAAGCATATAGTCCAAAATTTCAATGCCTCTCCAAAGTATTATACTTATTTACCATACATAGTATACCTTTTTCCCATGCACCAGCAATACACCCAGTAGTCAGAGTGCAGGATTACTGCATGAGTACACAGGACTTACTGGGCACATTCAGTGCATTCATTCTGCACACGTATTTTACTACTGCACGCAGAAAAGGCTACGGGGGGCAGGGGGCACGGGACACGAGACAGGCCCCAAAAAAATGAGAAGAGTGCTGCTGTTACAGTCATTTACACACAGCACCACAGACCTGATCCTAGTTACTCCTGAAAAAGAGAAAGCCATTAGTAGCAGGCTGCTGGTGAGACTGAACTACCTGTCAGATTACACAGAAGCATGTAATACAAACCAGATAACTCTAGCAGTGCACAGATTTTCTGTGCTGTTTACAACATATACTAGGTTTACTGATAGGAACAGTGCAAAAGTAAACAGCCTAAGCTAAAATACATTTAGACTAAAACTTCATCTTCTGTGCTACACTTGCTTTAAACCACTTATAGCCTGTCACATAGAAGCTGAGAGAAGGCATAGGAAGACCATAGCATAACAGATCCAGAAGGTAGCTTTCTGTACATCAGCATGCTGTCCCATCCAGAAAGCCACTTCCAATATTTTTTCATATAGCGCTCATTTCCCATGAAATTCTTCTAGCTTCTTTTATAGAAGTGGGCTGTGTATCACTATTTACTGTGCAAAGTCATCATAACAGGGAAAAAAAAACAAACACCACCTGCAAATTGCAACATGAATAATTACTCATCTTTTATAGCAAAAAACAACCAAAAGTACAAGTTCTGGTGAAGCTGTCATTCTCCACCAGATATTGAGGAATGGTATTTTAGGAACACCAAAGCAATGCTTCATATTTTTACCTCAGTCACAGACACCTCCATAAGACGAGTTATTGGATCTTGATGGCTCACAACACCACAGAGCCAGCTATTTTCATCCTCTGGTTGGTAAATCTTAACTCTTTGGCCTTGGACGCTGTAAGGACCTGGAAAAGAAGGACTTTGAGTACATTTTCCAGACAAGGTTTGTGTCATGCTAGTTAAGAGTCATACAATTAAAAAAAAAAAAAAAAAGTTCTGTGCACATAATTAGGGCTTGAAGTGTCATCTTTCAGGTGGAAAGAAATGAAAACGCTACGGCTTCTGCTGCATATCCTGCAGAGGCCAAGCATTCTATTGTAAAAAGTCAGTAAGCCCTCATTGCTGTAACTCAAAACTATTGTAAAGACATAATTAATACAGTTTACAAGTTAAAAAAAAAAAAGCAAAAGATCAAAATAAAATCACTCCTTTGACAAAATCAAGCTAGATGGGGGCTCCTTGCTAACTAAGCTCTTTTGCTTTCTAACCTACAGGTCGGTAATTATGAAGCATCAATCTAGTGGACAGTCACAGCATTCTGACTCAGTCCAGATGAATCAAATCCCAGTATAAACTGCATGCAGTTCAAAATACAAACATATATTTGTAACTGTGGAAAATGTAATATAATTGCACAAATATCCAATGTCTCTAAACCAACCAGTCTTAGTTCTTTGACACGGGTAACGGATCATCTACAGAAAGGTTTCCTCCGACCCTGCCCTCACTCTCCACATCAGCATGCAGAGCTTTCCTCCTACCCTAAGTCCAGACAAAAAAAACTCGGTTAATATCAGATCATCAAAATCCACATGATCCAACAGCCTGTATCTGATACAACCAGAATTAGACACTTCAGAAGAAGGCTCCACACTGGACAATTCTGAAGCTACTTGCTCATGTAAAAAGTATTGCCCTCATAACATTTTTATCAATACACATGTTATTTAACCAAAAGGCACTAAATCCCCATTAAGAATTACATCGTCCTTCAAATGCTATAGAATGGCCTACCTCTAGGGTGGCCACCTGGCCCATGAACCCAAACTCAGGATAGAAAATAATTTTAGCACTTGAACTAGAAGATCCCAATCTGACAACAAAAGCTGCAATTAGGCTTAACCCTAATACACAATCCAGCAACAGTTAAGGTATTAACTTTATGCTGAGCAGCCACTGCCACACCATATTTTCAACTTAAGTACTGTATTATCAAAATGCCAAAATTTGAAATAACAAGAGAAAATTTTTAAAGATCAGCAACTACAGAGTAACTTCACTTCTAAATTTCCAGAATTATAGAACAGAACCACAGAACAGGACCAAAACTTTAAAAATTCAAAGCTTAAAATAAGGAAAGTTGCGGATACATGGACATTATCAATAATATGTCATCCTACTTTAACTACATCTTCGCTGATCATTCCCAGTAGGTATTTCTGGTTCTATCTCAGCAACCGCTTACCTGTATCTGTGACAAAATAATGCTTCCTTGTAAAGAACTTGCAAAACAATACAGAAAATTTACCTTCCAAATCAAACAGTAACAGATCCTATTACTATTCTCCTTCACAAATCCCAGCACAGTCTAATTGTTCCAGAAAAAAGTACCTTTGAGATAGAAAAACAGTCTCACCTCTACTAAATATCTCCTGAAGCTTCTGGTCACTGATCAATGCGTTGACAGATTCTCTTAGTGAAGGCTGTTCCTGCAGAATCTGATTTTGACTCTCTGTTCCCATCTGCCAACAAGAAACAGTTTTAACATAAAAGTATAGTCTTTTAAGGTAACAGAATCATTAGTTTTTAAGGGACACCTCTTCTCCAGCTGCTCTCAGAAACTGACAAACAAACAAAGTAAAATTAAGAAAACCATTGCTGAACATGCCAGAAGGTAAAAAATTACTAACTACGCAAAAGCTGTTGCAAAATTTCCATTGCAATTATCAGCGACAATATGCTTGACGACTAGCTCTCCAACTGACCAATACAGAGAGGAACTAGGACTTTTCAAATGCAGGTGGAGGTTAGCATAAGCACCTGGAAAAGCAGGGGAAAAAAACAGAAATACACCACAGGGCAGTGAAATGAGGAAGACAATAATGTGGAAGTGGCACAGTAAAAAAAATAAAATCTGACAATCACAGCACAAAGTTAAATTTGCACTCTAACTGAACACAGTTCAAATACCTGAAACAAACGTAATCCACTGGCATCAGACAGGAAACGTAAATGTCTGTCCAGAAGAAACTCCACTGGGACCACAGAGCCTAAACCCAGCTTATCTACTAGAGGAGTGAAGGTCTGTGATGAACAACAGAAAAAAAAAAAAAGGTTATAAAAATGACTGAGCATGCACATAGGCCAACGATAGTTGTTTTCATATGCTATTTAAGTATCACAAAGAATAAAAAGTTTAATTTCTGAACTTGCATTGCCCAGTGCCTGAGTTTTAATGTAAATTATTACTCATTATGTCTAAGCCAATAATTAATTCTTGCAAGTGTGGCATATTACAAGAAGGAATTACAGAAAATTGGCTCCACTTATTCATTAGAACTTAAATCAGAACTGAAAACACCTTTTGTGGTATTTGTTTTTTCATAGGTAAGCACCTTCTGATGCTCAGGTTAAAAAAAAAAAAAAGCTTTGGTTAATGGTTCAAACTATTCTACATATTTCGGGTATAGACTCCTGAAAGGAGCATTTTTATTCCTGTATAGAAGTCAGGTCTAAGTAATTTATAGACATTATTAATAAAGGGGAGCTCTTTTTTTTTTTTTTGCGCTAGTGTTTTGTGCAACACTGAAGTTCAACAGGTATATTATTGATACCCAAGCTGCAGGACAAATCACTAAAAATAACTAGCACAATCAGAACGATAACCTTATAACATAACTTGCTGATGGAAGAGGAAGTTGCCAACCACTGGAGTCTTTGAAACGTGTTATCTGTCTCACGCTCACACTTAACATGATTTTAACACACAAGTATTCAGAACATTTTTCCCTTAACAGCTCTCATCAAGTTTGTTCACACTCCATTCTCCTGTACACCACAGTATGAATATAAAATTTATTTTCTCAGTTTATGTAAAACAATTTCATAAAGGTGAACAGGACTACAAGAAAGAAACAATGAAGGATGAATACCCATTCATAAGTGATATATCTCAAACCCAAAACCCACCACCGCCCAGAAAAAAACCCAACCAACGTCCAACTCGTAATGCTAAGTAGTTGGCTTCCCAGTACTGTCCACGTTGCACATGTGTGCTCTGGTGCTTTGGCTAACTCCAGTCTGTATTCCCATGCAGTTATTTGAGCCTGAGTGATTGTGTGGTTGTGCAGAGTACAGTGGATGGAAACATTTTTTCAGCAAGTCCACAGATACAGCTTGACTTATAGTGCAAATACTCTGGGACCTTAGTGGACCCATATTTGCTTCTAACAGTCTTCTAACAGGTTCTGACACAACTCATTACACAATCAATGTGCGGACTATGGTAACACCCCCAAATCACAGAGATAACAAGATACTTGGGAATCATCTGAAAGAAAGTGATCCTGTATAAACATAGTTTCCCAGATGAAATTAAACAGGAGTTCACTCTTGGAGAAAAATTGGAAATAACATTGAAAGGAAAACTCCGCCTATGGAAAAACACTATATACAGAATCTCTGCTGTAAAGTTGTGATTTTCTTCTGCCTTAAGACAACTGCAATAAAGAAACCCTCAGAGAAAGATGCAGTGCTGAACTTGTTCCTTTGAGCCCAAGTGTCAATTTAAAACACTAAATTCAAATTCTATCAAGGCACAAGGTCCTTGACTGGAAAAAACATTCTAATGTGCCCATGCACAAAATGTAGTATTAAAAAGCAGAGTCCAAGGACTGCAGGAAGAGAAAAGAAACAAAAGGAGGACAAAATAATAAAAAATACCATGAAAACAAGGGTAGGATTCTCATATATAATGACTTTTCCTCTTCAGAAGCCACTAAGAGGAGATAGAAGGATGTAAGGAATGCTCTTCACTATGTACTACTCACCAGGACGTTTGCAGAATGGGTATACTCAGATACACTAGCTAAAACATTGGCTTTGGTCTCAAGTGTCATGACATTTAACTGCCATGTAAACAGCAATATGGATAATCACTTCAAGAAACAGGAGAAAAATTTGCACGTCATATTAGTTAATGCTGGCAACACCACTGAAGTAAAATTTTTAGTTTAGATTAGGAGTGGCCAATTTATGGCTTATAGGTCAGGCACAGCCCACAGTCTATTCTCTTCCCTAAAGCACCTTCAGAAATACCTATTAAAATGATGCAGTAACCTTTACCATACAGAGCTCTAGAAAGTCCGTAGTAAGACCAAAAGGCTTATTCTTACAATTCAGAAAAGCCTACACTCAAAGTTCTAAAATAGGGAAAAATAATCTTTTCTGATATGTATCACATTTCTTCACAGACCCACTGGTAAACAGTATGTCATTTCTGTGAGGTAACAGCTTTGAATTTCTGGGAAGGAACTGGAAGCATACTGCCTTTCATGCCTTTTCAAAGGCACTGTAACGCTGAGTTAACTGCTATATTTATCATTAAAAAAAAAAAACCAACCAACTACAAAAACATCCCCAAGCAATTTTTGGAACCTGCATAACGGTGCCCTGTAGGACACCCAAGCCTTGTGTTTCACAGTAGAATTGATGCAAACCTCTGAGGATAGGAGAGCTTTTGGCCAAATACTCACCAGTGCAGGCCACTGTGCCAGTGAGACTCGAGTCCCCTGAAGCATAACTGGATCAGTTCGAGGTGCCCAAACCAATGATCCTTCCAGCAACAACACTATAACTTCTTCAGCGTGGACTTTCACCCAGGCATGTTGCTTCCAGTTACAGCCATCAAATTCCACAAAGATCTGATAAAAAAAAAAAAATTGGAAGGCATTTCAGCTCTTTTCAGACACCGAATAGAAAAAAATTAGATTCCTACAATCCCTATGGATAAGGAGACAGTAGCTTTAGTCAGAAAAATCAGGGTAAGTATTGTAACACCACCACTGAGAACATCACATCTACATAGCTATCAAACATTACAAAAGAAAAGGGAATCAAATTCACAAATACTAACCTATGAAAAATTATTTATCCCCAAACACACACCATTGGCTCCAAATGCTGCATTTTCCCATACAAAATTCAAGATGTGAAAATTGTTCATCCGAAAATACAACTGATGACCAAATGCAAGCCTCTAACCTCAGGATTTTTTTACAGAATTCAGACACTCTTACTTGGCACTTCAACAGATGGCTTGTATCAGTATGGTTAACTGATATTCAAAGAATTAAATCCTTCAGCCAGGGAAGTCTGTGTTTGTGAAATTCACTCTAAATCACAAGTTTTGCGTTGCCTTGTACATTATTAAACTCCCTGGACCAAATGCAAACATTTCGGATAGCATGAGATTATCCAGAAATATCTACTCAATAGATTTTTTTCATTACCTTATTTACAAGTGTGACAATACAAACCACACTACAATTCTCAATCACTATTCTGAGATATCCTCTTTTATTCTATCACAAAGGACAAGTGTTAAAGCCGTATGAAATTACAAAGCAAGAATGCTAAGAACAGGCCCGCAGGTTACAAGTCTCATTCCACATCCTAACAACTAGGGCTATTAAATGTTAAAACACAGTCACATTCCAACCTTTCATCTACAGTGTTTACATATTACACAAATATAATCAAATATGTCAGATGAACAGCAAGAAATTCCTAATCAGTTAAGAAACACCTTAAGCTGGACAGTCAAAACTAAGTTTTGTAATAATTACAAAATCACTGAGGGTAACAGGGCACTAATCGGAGACAGACAGCTCTCTGCTTTGCCAGTAATCCTTGTTAAAAGAGGTATCAGAGACCACTCATATGCTCCTCTTCCCCACTCCTCCCCCGACTCAAAAGCTCAAGCTCCAAGGGGAGAGGGAGAGAGTATGAAGCAACTCTCCTGATGAATTCTTGAACTTCATTACTGCTTAAGCATAAGCTGTCATGCAGAGAAAGATGACTGGACCTCTCAAGATATCCTTCCTTCAATTCAACAGCTTCAGCAATATAGTGAAAATTGGACTGAACACATTTTCTGTTTCTGGGGCCTGTACCTTTCTTAATATAATAATTTGTGCTACTTTGGCACAATAAATAGAATAATAGAATAAAAAGAGAATAAAAGAGAGGACATAGAGGACTATCACATAAGATAACAAAATGGAATTATTTGTTTATATGTACAGTATTAGTGAGGTAATCATCTTGCTATGATTCTCTTATCATAAAGGTTATATGAAAAAAGGTTGTCAAAAAGAACTATTAGAATAACACTGACTTTGGAATATATTCCTTTTTGCAAGGTTTTTAAAAATTTGATGAAAAGGAGGGGAGATTTTATAAGTAACTACACAGACAGGACCTCTCACTAGCACATCCCCTCAAACTAGCTGGCAAGGATCACTAAAGGCAGACAAATTCAAACAAGCAATAAAGTGCAGCTTACCACTCTGCCCCAAATAAATAAGGATACCTATTAGGTTTATTTTTAATTTATTACTTCACACAAGACTTAAGTCTAAACTTAGTCTAGTTTACAAGAAGAGCATGAGGGAAGACCCAGGGAACTACAGACCTGTTAGGCTAACCTCAGTACCTGGAAAAATTATGAAAATCACCCATGGTGCTATTGAACAACATTTAAAGGACAATGTTTAACTAATTTAATCTCCTTCTACGACAAAATCACCCACCTAGTGGATGAAGGGAAGGCAGTGGATGTAGTTTTTCTGGATTTTAGTAATGCTTTAGATACTGTCCCTCACAGCATCCTTCTGGACAAGCTGTCCAACTGTGAGATAAGTGGGTTCACGGTGCGCTGGGTGAAGAACTGGCTAGATGGCAGAACTCAAATGGTTGTAGTGAACGGGGCTACATCTGGCTGGTGACCGGTCACCAGTGGTGTTCCTCAGGGCTCGATCCTAGGCACAGTGCTGTTCAATATTGTTGTAGCTTAGCCCCGACTGGCAGCTAAGCACCACGTGGCTGCTCGCTCACTCCTCCCTCATCCCCTTCCCCGCCCCAGCGGGATGAGGAGAAGAATTGGAAGAAAAAGGTAAAACGCATGGGTTGAGATAAGGACAGTTTACTGGGATAGCAAACAAAGGGGAAAATAACAACAACAGTACTTATAACAGAATATACAAAGCAGGTGATACGCAATGCAATTTGCTCACCACCCAGAGCCCGATGGCCAGCCAGTCCAGAGCAGCAATGACGACTCCTCCCTGGCCAGTTCCCCCGCTTATATCTAGAGCATGATGTCATTGCATGGAATATCCCTTTTGCTAGTCTGGGCCAGCTATCCTGGCTGTGTCCCTGTCCCAGCTTCTTGTGTAAATAAACTCTATCCTAGCTGAAAACCAGGACAAATATTTTTTTATCAATGATCTGAATGCAGGAGTTGAATTCACCATTAGCAAGTTTGCTGATGATACCAAACTGGCAGGTGCTGCTGACTCCCTCAAGGGACAAGAAGCCTTGCAGAAGGATTTAAATAGATTAGAGCACTGGGCAATCATCAATGGCATGAAACATAACAAGAACAAATGCCAGATTCTGCACCAGGAACAGAGTAACACCGGACACAAGTCTAAACTGGGAGAGGAGTGGCTGGACAACAGCCCTGCAGAAAGGGCTCTGGGGGTGCTGGTTGACAGGAGGCTCGACAGGAGTCAGCAGTGTGCCCTGGCAGCCAAGAGGGGAAACTGCATCCTGGGATGCAGCAAACGCAGCAGCACCGGGATTGTCCCGCTGTGTTCAGCGTTGGTGCAGCCTCACCTGGAACGCTGCGTGTGGTGATGGGCCCTGCCATTTGAGAAGGATGTGAAGGTCCTCAAGTGCGTCCAGAGGACGGCAACCACGCTGCTGAAGGGCTGGAAGGCATGTCCTGTGAGGAGCGGCTGAGTACTCCAGGTTTGTCTAGTTTGGAGAGAAGGAGGCTGAGGAGCGACCTCATCGCTCTCTGCAGCTTTCTGAGGAGGGGACATGGAGAGGGAGGTGCTGATCTCTTCTCCCTGAGATCCAGGGACAGGACACCTGGGAATGGGTCAAAGCTGTGTCCATCAGGGGAGGTTCAGTCTCGACATGAGGAAGCATTTCTTTACCAAGAGGGTGGTCAAACACTGGAACAGGCTACCTCGAGAGGTGGTCGATGCTCTGTGCCTGTCAGTGTTTAGGAGGCATTTGGACAGTGCCCTTAATAGCATGCTCTAACTTTTGGTCAGCCCTGAAGTGGTCAGGCAGTTGGACTAGATGATCATTGTAGGTTCCTTCCAAATGAAATATTCTATTTCATCACTTAACTCAGAAAACAGACCTTATAGTTTTCCTTTCTAAAACCCCAGACCTACAAACTGAGTCAAAAGGAGAGAAAAGGCTTACAACATTATCCTATTAAGATCACCTCTCTTCCCTGCAAAACCGGGAATTCGTGGCAAGTTTGGTTTACACACTTCACATTCAATATTCAGTTTTCTTCCATCTTTGTATAATCAACATAAGCAATGGAGTCCTGCCAAACTTTGACTTGCAACCACTAAAAAAAGGTGTTACTAATTCTAAGTCAATACCCAACAGAGTATTTTCCTACACACAGACATGTAGGGCAGCTGTTCCAGATCCATGCTACACTTGATATTGTCAGTACTGTCAGTACTTTCCAACAGATCACACAGCAACAAAAAGGATGAAAGCCTCAATATAAACAGCTATGTTCTCAGTTTCTGTTTCCCAAATGTGCAATAGGAATCACTTTGTATACTGGGTGCAAAAGAAGCAGAAGCTGACTTGCAGAGTGCACCGAGTGTTTGTGCTTATACCACTTTGTATTACTACAGAAAATAACTACAGCATATTCATGAAATGATGCCCAATATGCTTAAATTCTATGAGAAAAAAAACTACGAGAATCCTGAAAGGGATGCCTCAAGCAAGAAAGTAAGGACAGATGAGACAGACTTGAGAGTAAACAAACACATTTCCTTTAGATATTTAAAGTGGTAAACAGAAATATTCTACTTTTGTTGAAAAACCCAGAAGCCTTAAGCAAAGCAGCTGCATTATAACTGAGAATTTCCTGGGTTTTTTCCTCATCTTAATTTCAAAATTGTGTGGTTCGGAGTCAAAAGGGAAACGTCTGTGCTAAAGCCCTGGCTACATCAGAATAAATTACCTCTCAAATGTATCAACAGCCCTAGAATTCATAGGGTCACATCTACCAACAGTATCCTCTGCCGACCCTCCTAACTCTGCTCACGATCAGTTTAGACAAGCCGTAACTAAGAACAGCAATGGCGCTTTGTTAATACCAATGCTTTTGAACAGTGCTATTGATGATGGCAACTAGATATACACTTAGTGCAGATATGTCTGTGTCACATAAAAAAAAAATTATGCTGCTTAGACAAAAACGTACCTGCAGGATTTCCTAAGTTCTCCTATGGGGAATAACAACTTCCCTAAGCAATATCTAATTGTAAACAATAAAGATTTTTATGTTTTGGTTTGTTTTGGTGTGTTTTTTTTTAATCTACAAAACCAGGGGTTTTTTTCCAACACAAAAACCAGAGGATGCATACACACCCATAACTCTCCCCCTCACCCCCTTTTTTTTTGTCTGTCCCAACAAAAAGCGACACTAGAAAGCAGAGCTGTTGCTCTGCTTTATTTGACATACAGACAGCCTGAAGCATTTTTGTCCAGAAGACACATTCTTGTCTAGCTACTACACTAACATTCAGGCCTTAATACACTAGAGAGAACTACAGTCTGGTTCAAATGGAATTTCCCATAAAGT